CTTAATTTGATCATTTTAGACATAGCCGTACTTTCCTGAGAGACAGTGGCCCGGCCGCTTGATCAAATCAAAAGTCTGGACAGAAAAATGATTTACGGCTAAGTTACTTAACTGATGCATTTTAATACATGCAGACAAGGCTGGCTGTTGCATTTTAATGACAGGCATTGCTTACTTGTATAAAATGCCCTGCACATGGTCAATTGTTGTACCTGAAGGTCACCTTGGGCCTAAGCTTAAAATTGACTCATAAATATTCATGGCCCCTCTGCAGTCAACAAGATACAAAACAGAGTGAAGTTTTTCTCCAAACGTCTAAATGGGTTTGTTGTGACATTTGCTGCAGCTGCAGAGTAAAAACTGTAACAAAGAAATGTTTTCTACGCCTAAATTGCAAAGGGATGCAGCCGATTCTATGACTAGTGTTTGTTTAATTATATTCTAAAATAGTGAAGCACTGTGTTATTATTATTATTGGTTATTATTATCTTCATCAGAAAACAGGATTTCAATGAAGAGCAAGATTCACCACAGGAAAAACTCAAGACATGGCAATAGATAAATAGATCGATCGATAGCTGATGCAATTTAGGACCACAATTTACAGCAGGACACAACCCAAAAACAGTTTTGTCAGTGAAAAAATGAGCAACATCACTTATAATTTAAGAACAATTTGCAATTTAACCATTTTTAAAAAATAATATAGCAAGGATTTTAAAAACAGTATACCTACATAACTCCAGAAAAGTGGTTGAAGTTGTTTTGGAAAAATGTTTGTAAGTAAAAATGTTTTCAAAAACAACCTGAAAATGCTAGATTAAATTTAAATATAAAAACTAGGGAAAGCTGAATTTGTAGAATAACAATTTGCACCAATCTGATGGTTAAGAAACTGATTACAAACAATAAATATCTTATTTAATTTATTATTTATAATTTATTTAATAACTTATCAGCAAGAGGGGTTTTGAATTGAAAATTTTATTTATTTTGTTAATATATAGTTTTATTAGAAAGTGATTAATTGCAGACCTTATAACTAACTTAATAAAAAGCTTTAATGGAGTCCCACCACTAACAGCAACATGTCTCCAATTGGTACAGTTTTAAAGAATAATAACTAGAAAAATTAGGTTATACTGGAAAGCTCATTTAGTCCAGAAACTGATATTTTCAATCTTATAATGATTTTCTGCGTCATAGATGATGACTACACCGCATTTAACATGGAAATATTAGATTATTAAAACATTTTTAAATAAAGAAATGTTGGCTTGGTGAAAATCTCACTTAAAGTGAAATGATGAAAATGGTAAAAACAATAACTTTCTTTTATCACCAGCACTAAACTGCAGGGAAACTGCAATTACTACTGCAGTTTCCCTGCAGTAGTAATTGATGAGTTATGTAATTATTAATTAACACTACTGATAAAAGTAAAACATTACAGGTCAGAATAACCATCTTCTAAAGTTGTGCACACATTATACTGATGAGTAACATTTTAACAACACATTTGCATGATACATTTTAGATGCTTTATGGATAACACAACCTCCAATTTGCACTTAAAGGCTCTGACCGAAGACTGGCATCTGTTAGTGTTTCAATTATGATAAAAAAATAAAAAATCTTCCACATTTGGTGTAAAAAATTCTGTTTGCCTCAAATATTGACATCTAGTGTGAGATGTGACTGTTCAACTTCAGCATCACGTTAAGAGGTGAAGTGAAAGGTTGCAAAAGCAGCAACTCCGAACACCATAACACCATAAAAACATAAAAGCGGCTATTAGAGGAGAAAAAGGACTGTGACAACAGGAAGGTGATGGGATAATAGCACCCATAAGTTTCTTTCAAAGCTCGGTTTCACCGTCAAAGACGTGAAGACTATTTTACAAGTAAAATGAAAACCCAAAGAACTGGCTTGGCACTGCATATCCTGCAAAATGTTTATTTTAAAGAAGAAACATTTTCTTTAACCGAACGCTTTAAAAGAAGAATGTTTTAGACATTTTAGCCAAAAGCCGTTTTCTTCAACATAAACAGGTTTGTTATTACGTTTTACAGGCAACAGTAACAGATCAGATTCAAACATCTGACATAAAATGTTAAAGAACATAAACAGAAGATGACAGAAGAACAAGTTGATTTTTATTTGATGTTGCTTTATCAGCAAAATGTATTTTTAGAAAAAGTCCAACTAAACAGACTACAAATCAGATAATAAAATAAATGACAGACGTCTGATTTTAAGCTGTACGGTTTTCTACCTTGTGGTGTTGGATGGCAAATTGAAAAGCATGTAAAGTTGGACTAGAAATGAGGAAATAAACATTTTGTGGAGCATCTTTGAAGTAGGCATATCACATTCGATGTGCTGTTGAAATGTAATTTGACAATTTAATCAGAAAGTAGTTTTGCTGCTTACATCGCCTAGGGAAAAAAATAGTAATACTTCTGATTTTGACCTGTCAATAACTGATAAAAGTCGACCATGAAAAATTTGGTTGGTTCTCATCTTTGGTCAATTGAGTGGTGTATTAATTGAAATGGAAACAAAAAAAACCATGAATTGTTCTCTAGTGTAATCATTTTAAAGGAGACCTACTAGACTTTCTTGAACAGGTTAGTTTATGTCTATGGGCTAAACAAAACATGTTCATTACATTTTTTGCAGAAAATTATTCTTTTATAATAAAATTTTAGTCTGCTCAGTTCTGCCTATTTTCAAAGAGCTATTTTAGGATCTTTCATCACTTTAAATCCAAATAAACTGCTAGAACTCACCCCAACTCAACTTTGACATTCACACATGACAAAGGCTAAGAACAGATGCACAATTATACAACTGTACATCTTTGAGAAGCAGAAGTGGAGCCTTCTGCACAGCATGTGGTTTCTGGATGATAAGTCAACAACAAAACACTTGTCTTTCCCAGCAGTCATTGTACAGCACATACAGCGGTAAAAACCACCTGAGCAATCGTGCTGGAGTTCTGCTTGGGTTGCTAGGTAACGGGCTGGGCTCAGCCAGGGTTGCTAGGTAACAGGCTCATTTGTGACATCACATTCCAGAGGTTTTTAAAACCCAGTTTCCACACAACAACAAAAAATTACTTATTACCAAAAACCAGGTGAGTGTTTTTTAAGCACTTGCTGATTCTTTTTAGAAGCAGTAGAAACCCACATGGAAATTAATTTTGCATGATACGTCCCATTTAAACTATGTGAAGCATCATTGCATTTGCAGAAAAACTTCCCTGTCCACCGAGTCGTTAATCTCATAGTTGAGTGTTTACAGCAACGCAGTCGATACCAACAGGTTGCCTTGCAGCTGTCGTTTTGTCTGGAGCAGCTATCTGGAGTTTTCCTCACCTAAAGCCAGGGACACTGCCAATCAAAGTTAAAAATAAATCTTGTTATTAATGGTGACAAAGAAGCGGAGGTATTCGCCGAGCGTGGTCCTCCTTCCGACGGCATTAAAGGTCAGCGTGATGACTCAGCTGTAAGTAGCATGGAGCATGGAGGAAAAGTCAAACGTCACCCTCTTTGTTGTATCAAACACCATTCAGAGAAATGACATGCTGGCTCATGAATATTTTGTTCCCTTAAATCAAAGGCATTCGTTTGGTTTTTAATTGCGCAGGTTTTTAGGCTAATTTATCTCAAAAATCTGGGTTGGAGGTGTTTCAATGCCAATTTAATCAAGGCCCAGGTGCTGGTCACGACTTAATTCCCTTAGTTATCCGAGTGAAGGAGCATTTGTCTTGTCTGTACCAATCAGTGGGGCTTGTTGCTGACCACCGTGTAGCTTCAATGTGCCGTCTCCAGGCACTGCAGCTTTGTGTGCTTCATAAAAGCTAATAATAAAAAAGAAAAAAAAAAAAAGAGAGCTGCAGCTTCAGGCTGTGAGCATGGCTCTGAGAGCAGGTGCACAGCAGCAGCACTACACAGTTTGGACCATTTTTCTTCCTTTTTCAAACACAGAACATGCTGCGGACATTTAAGTACATCAGTGATCCTGCTTTTAGTAATAAATCTGCACTTTTCCGGTCATGAGAAATAGGTTTGTACTGGGTGCTGCAGGAAAGTTTAAGATGTTAGACAAAAGAGATCACTTGCTTTATTTCCTCTGATTACTACTATGTATTGGGTAGCAATAAAGGGTGGCCATAAGACTGACGTAATACTGTCGTAAACATGGAGGTAAGGTTATTTTATTTATGTAGCACATTTTCAGTAACAAGGCAGTTCAAAGTGCTTTATCTGAATTAGAACAAAACTACTAAATCAAAAGACAGACTAAAAGGTAAAGGTAGCAACAACAAAAAAGATAATAGTACTACACAATCTAAACTAATAGGAGTTTCTCTAGATCTAAAGTTTGTTCTTGATTTGTAATATAAATAAGAATAAGTAAGACGAATAAGTTTTTTCTTTCAGGTCGTTTGCCGTTCACACTAGAGATCACTTACAGGTCGCATATATTTGGAAGTGTGAACGGCAAAAAAGTCCGATTTGACAGAAAATCGGAAGTGGATCACTTTAGGCTGCAGTGTTAACATAGGATGTACATTATAAATGTGAAGTTTGTCAAAATGTGTTTATTTATTCTTTGAATCTACATTGTTTAGTTAAGTTGTTTCTCCAGATATTTATTGGTGCTTTAAGCTCTGTTGCTGCTCTTGGCAGTTGGTGGTTACCGTAGCAACCGGTAACTGAGGCTCCTCCCCCTTTTTCTGTTGCTGTTTGTAACTGTGGGGCAGAAGCTGCTGGACTGATGTTAACCACCATTTCCTCTTATTGTCTTAATAAATACAGTGAACCTGAACGTGTCTGTCGTGAAGTCGACCTACTGGACCTGAGACGAACATAGGAGGGTTACAGATGTTTCATCTTTATGGCTGAGTTGAGGTCAGTCTTACCCACACTCCTTCAATTAAAATGTTACCATACATTGTGTCTTCTCAAATGTTAGCAAAGCCATCACCTTACCTTCTTCTGGACGAAATCCAAGATGTTTTTGAAGTCTAGGTCATCGTAGTAGTTTTCTATGCCCTTCCTAATGTTTTTGTTCACCAGGTCAAGAGTCTATAAGAAAGAAGAAAGAAAAAGCGGTCAGGATTCGTCAATAAGGTGGACGGCTTTTGACACAGCCGATCTGCAGTCGGAGTGACCAAATGCCGATTAGTGAAGGTGACTGATCTCCCCCGGCTGGAATATTAAAGCACAACACTTTGACCGCTCACATCTGTCAGTCACAATCTGGTGCAGACGACGAAGTCTGGAGTGGTTGCATTAACACAGCCAGAGTGGAAAATGTTTAACTTTAGACTCTGAACTGTCATGATCACAGAAGAGTTTCTGGTGATGGACAAACAATTAGGCTCTAATTTTCATCTGAGCCGGTCCTCACAAATGCATTTCACATTAGCAGATTCTCTCCAGAAAACGTTTGCTCTGTTAGAAATATTACGACGATATCTCTACATGAAGGCTGCATCCACTCAAAAACATTCTGGTGCATTTTTAGATGAATACGAAAAAAATAAAAATAAAAAAGCTAACTGTAGTCTCAGTGTGCAGTGCTGTCTAAGAGCACTGAAATTATTCCACGGGGGTCTTTACTTTAGAAAGCAAATGTATAGAAATTTACATTCGTATAACCAGAAAATTGAAATAAGTCTGGCTTCCATAATGCAGTACTGCATTATTTTCATCCTAATTTAACTAATAAATCAAAACAATGTAGGAGGAAATGCTGGTTCTTGTATAGAAAATTACCATTGACTGAGGTAGAGCATTTCCTTGAAATAACAGAAAAGGCAATGCTTGGTGAAAGTACTTAAAAGTAGAATTAAAGACTGGTGATTATTATCATTTTCGGTCAGTTTTTAACCTTTCCCCATACACAAACAAGACAAAACTAGTACAGGAAAATTTAAGAAATCAAAAATAATAATAAAAAAAGTTTATGCATGCCTCCATTTTGTCATGTAAAGCACAATCAAAAATCAAAAGCAGGAAAATCTGCTCTAAGTTAATCCAGGCAGGTGTGAAGACAAACTCATAAAAGAAAACATCAAATCTTATTGTATTTTTTTTAGGAAATTACTATCGGACATTTTTTTTTTATTTAAAGAGTGAAAAACAGTTTTAACTCTCCACCTGAGTCCCTTGAACTGAAGTACAATCGTTTTTAATATTGATAGTAACTTAGTTTTTTAAAATAAATCCTTCTCTTGTATTCATAGTAGTTTCTTTAATTCATTTGTGTTAATTTTCCCGATATACTTTATGTGAAGTCAACCTGATGTATAATGATCTTTATAGAGATCATTGTATCTCTATTCAGATTTAATCTAAAAATAACAACAACCTGATTTCCTAATATCACATTTATACAATACATTCCTTATGCACAGAGTGAAATATTTTACGTTTTTCTTTTGGTTAAGTGATTATTGTTTTACAGGTACATGTAGCTTCTTACAGCAGTATAGCTTGCTTTAATTTGTGGCCTTGCTGACTCTGGTGTCTCATCTTCCTGTTTATAATACTCCGCGGACCAAAACACTCCGCAGATTCAAACACTCCGCAGATTCAAACACTCCGCAGATTCAAACACTCCGCAGAGTCAAACACTCCGCAGATTCAAACACTCCGCAGATTCAAACACTCCGCAGATTCAAACACTCCGCAGATTCAAACACTCCGCAGATTCTCTTTGCGGTTTAAGCCAGGAGAGTCTGATGGCAAATGAAGCACAGAGAACGCATGCTTTTATTGAATTTGGTATTGGCTCTGGTGGCTTTGTGGGCAGATGCCAAGCCCAGCTGAAAAAAAACAAAAACAAAGCACCCTGTAAAGCTTCACAGAAGAGGGAAGCATGAATTGCTTTGACATTTACTGACAGATGGCTGTGCTGACTGTTGACTTGATGAAACACAGCAGCGGACATGGTTGAGATAAGTCTTCAAACTGGTTCTTGAGCTACTGTGGCGTTCCTTTTTCTGGCACTTTGGTGACCGTCTGATGGATAAGTGTCCATTCTGAAGGCTTCCCCATTATTGTAGCAGTATTATTACAGTATTGGCTTTTACATCTAAAATAAATATTTCTCAGATAAAGCTGATTGTTACAACTAATCATGGATCCTTTTAAAGGATCCACTTTCAACAAGTAGAAATGTTTTGTGTGCAAGAAAACCAGCATAGCCCATATTGCCCTATACTGACCATAACCATCTCAGACAGTTTAGGCGTTTTCTTGCTCTTATTTTCAGAGGATTGTTTATTCGTGATTGTTTATTCATGCGGCTGTTTGTTTTGTGGGTAGGAGCTTTTGTCGTTCTGGTTGCAAACAAACAAAATCACTTTGCATTATTTACTTCTAGCTGGATGTGTTGCTGTGATGCAATGAGGAGATAAACTGAAGACAGATTATAAAATACAATAAGAGAAACAAAACGACAGGAGGATATTGGAATGGAGAAAACACCACAGAGCAAGGAAAAACTGATAACATGCAAATGATAATGACTTTGGTTTGTTTAACGTTGGCATGCTGACTGATTCTCTGCTACATCACTCTCTCAGGTCCATCCAGCTGTAGAAACATTTCAAATTAAAAGACCTCAGGTAGCTCACCTTATCGCGAAACGCCAGTCCCAATACTCCTCCCAGCAGCTCCAGGATCAGGCAAGCTAGCAGGGTGTACATGAACTGGGACAAAGCAAAGAAAGGAGAGAAATTAGTCAACAAGGCATCAACAAATTCAAGAAAAGCTCAGAAACAAAAATGCCTCATCTGCCACAGTTTTTATTCTCTTTTTGGAGATTCAATTCATTTCCGCTCTCTCAACAGAACTGTTTAAAAGTTTAAACCTTCAAAACTGTTCTGCATATCAAGGTTTTATTTTAAACAGTGCTATATAGTCATACTTAGAAAGGCAATTATTCTGCCGTTGTCATATTCCAATAGAAATCTGATTAGTACAAGAATAAAAACATTTTGATTAAAATAAGAGTTACCCTAATGTGTTTCTTTGTATGCAAAAGCATGTGGATCCAATTTTGACATAACTAAAAGATGATTTTTTTCTGAAAAATCTGTGTCTACGTTGAAGTTTATTTCCTTCTACTTCTTTCCACAAAATCACCTCAGAGAGGAGGCGAAACTTTCAGATCAGGAAATCGCATTTATTTGATTAGTAGCACCTTCTCTTGATTTGTATCAAAGTAGAAATGATGAATTTACCTTTTATGCATTTTAAACATTTTTTTAAATAAATTACACAATCAGCATAAAATCTTTCCTCTCATTTGCATTGTAGGTCTGAAAGAGTCCAGGTTATACTTTAGATGTTTCAAAAAGCAGATGACATAAATCCCATTTCACCAAATGAGACAAACTTTCTTTACATCAACATTTTTCATCCATGCATTTATCTTTAGCTGCATTGATTACTGCAACAGCGTCTTCACATGTCTAACAAATCAATCAAACAGCTGCAGCTGATCCAGAACGCTGCTGCTCGCATTCTCACTAAAACCAGGAACCCTAACCCCCCTACACTAACCCACCTGTTTAGAGTTGCTTATGGCTAAATTGCGGGTTTTAATGTCTTTGATGTTTTTATCTTTACTTTTCATCTAGTTATTAACTTCTTTTTATTTCTCTGTCACAGTCTAATGTTTTTATCTTTTTTAATCTTTTTCAAAATGTCTCTCTTTCTCACTGTTTATTCAATATCACATACTGTTTTTATTTCAATTATGTAAAGCACTTTGAAATGCGTTGCTGCTGAAATGTGCTATACAAATAAAATTTGATTGACTGATTTTTGAATTGCAGAATAAGATGCGATATTTCTCATCGGTTTGTGAACAAACTTCTATGGTTCAGTGCTTTCAAGGTTGAAATTAGACCAACATGTTTACAATAAAAAAAAAACAAAAAGCCATCAGAATATGGATCTACTTTAATTTTTACATCCCGTTTGTGGAAAAATACCATGATAAATTGTATTTCAAGAACTTCCAAGAAGCTTTTATCAACGTTTTTTTTCTCGGTAGAGACAAAGTGTTTTTTTCTAAAGTGATCAACAATCCGCCAGATGGAGCATAAATGAAGGTAATTCAACAGCGTCGCTTCTGATTAGCAAATATTACTTCAGAAGCAGAAACTGCACAGAGTTCCCAAATCAATCTGAAGGAACTCATAAACTCCAAAAAGTCTCAAGAGATTAGTGGAAATGTTTACGAATTCAGAAGGAGCATTAAGACACTGGTTTGGTAAAGAAAAACATTGTTTTGTAAAATGAATAGACAAGACATAGTATGTTTTAATGTGAAATATTTAAGGACTGCCAACATGTCCAGGATGTCGCTGCTTTAAAGCATCAAAATGTATTTGAGTCGGTTTCACTTCACCTATGAATAACTATCGTAATTCCTTATGGAAATCATCAATAAAAATAGTAATATAGGTTAAAAAAAAATCAAAGTCAGACACCACTTTTAACAGAGAAATAATATATATATCGAATAAATCAATGAATTTGGTCTCAGTTATTTATCCTCCTTGTTTTATTATTATTTTTAAAGTAATAATAAAACACAGCAGGATGCTACACTATGTGTATGGAATAAACAACGTCTCTCAAATATATCAGAGTTTATTAACAAAATGAATTTACCTTCACAGTTTTAAAAATTTATTCAACCAACTCGCTGAGCTAGCAACACACATCTACTAAAACTAATAAGAAAAAGGTGAAATGATCATCTTAAGCTACCATTACTGCCCAGGTACCGCATCTACTGTGATCATATTACAACATATAGGCGAGAACGGCTCTGTGACAGGAGTTGTTAGCTACTGGCCAGCAACTTGGTTTCCTCGAAGGCCAGCCTAGGGCAGGCAGGAATGATAAACAGCCTGCAGGCGTTACGTCTTCAGCTGCGGTCGAGGAACAGCTGAAAAGTTTAGCAGGGTTTGTACAAAGTTAGAAGCTGGCGGTGAAAGCAGATGCCTCTTGAATCTCTTCCTCAGCTCTACAAAATTAATATGCTGATCTCCAACCTCCCGTTTTGAAAGTGATGTTGAAATGCCTTGTTGCTGAAAGGGGCTATGCTAATAAAATTTGACTGATTAATTGATTAACAAATCGGCGGCTTAGCAACGGCTATGCGTGGCTAGCATAGGTAAAATTGGAAAGTTGGGGCATCTTTTTAGCTCTAGGTTGAGCAGCATCAGTGGTGTTCAGCTAGACTTGGTAAATCTGTATTTCTCAGAACGATCTGTCACCAGGCATCTCCCTCGGTGGGGGGCCAGACAGCGTCAGAAGTGGGTGAACCGGCATAGCTTTGGGTCAAAAACTCCTACAAACCCAGAAGCAGCATTCCTGTGCAGGCGAAGATTTGCACTTTCCTCTCCAAATGTCATCTTCACGAGGAAACAAAGGAAAGCATTTTCCTTTGTTCTGGGGAGTTAAAGGTCCCATGACATCATAGAGTTTCTTTCTCTTCCCGTTTGTTGGACCAAAGTTAACGCAGCGTTGTTAAATCAGTATGTAATCATACCTGTTTGTATTCAGTCCTTCAAGGCTGGATATCCAACACAGTTATAGAAAATGGAAGGATGAATTACTTAATGTTTAAATGAAAAACTTTCTGTTCTCAGAAAGCAAAAACACATTTATGAACCACTTCTTTTCTGGTCACTTATCCATCTTCGTTTGGATCGTGGCGATCTAGAATCCTAAACATTGAAAGAAAATATGACATTTTTGATTTACACCAAAATACAAACCAAAAATTTACAAAATGATACCAGTCTTTCAAAAATATTCTTGAAAAACAAAACACAAAAAATAAAGCTGAGAAGTGTGGAGTATTCAGCTAAATAGAAACACATTTTATAGCTGCATGTTTATCTACAGACTCAATATTTCCAGACTAAAACTTAAACAGAAGAGAGCAAAATAACAGAGAAAGTTTCTGAGCTATTTTAGGGAGATTTTAATGTTTGTTTTCAAAGGTCGTAGTTTGACAGCATTTGTTTCATAAATTAATCATCAAATATAAAATGTAACAGTTTTAAATCAGTGTTTACATAAACTACTTTGATATTTTTAAAGCTTAGACGTTTTCATTTGGTAAAACTCAGATTTATCATAAACTTTATTTGAGAATCTTTGTTTTCTCATAGTTAAAAATACACATCTACTGGCTACTATAAGAAAATCCTGCACTGTTGCATCCTCAAGTTGTTTGGGTTCCTTCAGTGATGCAATACAAACATTTCCTCTGCTTTCCTTGTGCTTATTGTTTATTGCTGCTCCTTTCGCTCAGGTCCTTTCACCAAACCAATCTAGACAACCGGTGGCCATTTTTGTTTCATGCCATTAGAAGACGCTGGCCAAATGCATGCTTGAGTGAAAATGTGATGTTTTTTTTTTCTGTTTGTAAATTTCCCTGAGGCAGCTTCAGTTGTGAACTGTCATTATCCAAATAAAAGTGTACTGAAATGTGAAAAATGCCAGCAAATTTTCATGGAAATGTCAGTTTCGTATATGTGAATAGAATCTCAGGAGAAAGTGGGTCATGCAGCAGGACAACAACCTTAAGCACACAAGGCATTGTTGCAAAGAACAGCTAAGAAAAAAAAATTAAGTTAATGATTTGAAAAGGCCAAATCATAGTCCTGACCTTAATCCAATGAAAATGTTAAAGAGGGACCAGAAAGAAGCAGATTCTAGCAACATCATGGAGCTCAAGCTGCTCTATGTGGAGTAATGGTTGAAAGTTCATACAAGTCAACGTCCAAAAATTGATCCACAGATAATGGAAGGACAGATAAAGTCTTACATTATCTAACATAATCCTAACATGTTAGGATTATTTGTAGTTTAGAAACACAATAAAAAAATAGACTTGAATAGCTTTGGGGGAAACAAAAATTCTCTTCTGCACTATAAAATACAAAAATTACCCACCCATTTTTATCAATTATATTAAAATTATTTATTTTTACAGTTTTTAATTAAATAAAAATTACAATAGCTTACGTGTGAGCAGAGCATCTAGCAAGCAAAGTCGTACAAAACTACCTGTGACTGAGTCCTATCTTTCACGGCAAAGAGTCGTTCAAAAGAATCGAATCTCCAATGAACGACACATCAAAAATATCATCAGTATCCAATCATAAGTAATCCTGGCAATGTTTTCTTTCCACCGGTATCTTCAGTTTTTCTTTTGAGAGACCCGGTTTTAAGCCACTTATCCATTATTATTCCACAATCCTTTGCTAAGCTAGTTGTAGCGTCGCACTTTGAGCTGACGTCACGGTAAATAAACGGTCGTTTACATGCAGTACCATGCGGACCACTAGGGGGCGCCCATAAGACTGATTTAAAGAGAGATCCTTCCATCATAGTAAAACTAAGCTTTTTAATCAGCAACTCAGGTTATTTAAGATGAGTAAATAGAACCCATGCTAGTTATACAAAAAATATAAAGGTGAGAGCTGTCTAAAGACTTTAAAAAGAAGCCAATAGGTGCCCTCATTAGTAGTAAATGCTACAAGACCATCTCTGAGCATCTTCATCACCTTGTGACAGCAAAGAAAACATATAAAAAGTTTAATTAGACTTCAACCAAGCACCCGCAACACCACAATAGGAAATGCAGCTCTGAGTCAATCAGATAGTGTGAATGGCAGAAAAAAAAAGAAGAGATAAGTAAACTCTTTAAAAAGCTTCAAACTGAGCTCTAATTAAAAGGGTACATAACAGGTCACAACAGCTGCAGCTTTTTGAAAAACAACCAGGATGGCTACTGACAGAGAGAAAAAAAAAAAAAAACTTTAAAAAACCCAAACTGAGATTTGAAAAAATGCAAGTTGACAAAGTTTCTAGGAGAATATTCTTTGAGCTGATAGACGAAGTTTTGATCATCTACAGAAACATCTTGAAATTGTAAATGTGGAGATGCTGCCTTCAAACCTGAGACAGCGCAAGCAGTTTAAGGAAGAGTGGAAAAGTCATATTCTGAATACATCACTAGTTGTCGGCAACTGCTGCAAAAAGCTGCTGTCACAAAATATTACCATGTAGATATCTTCATTTTAATCTATTCCATTTCCACAGTTATAAATATTCAGATAAATTAATAATCAAAGACAAACTCAGACTTGTTCTTAGCATGCAAAAAACCCTAGTAAGAAATAGGATTAGACTGTTGCCAGTTTTAAGTTGTTTCATAGATAGTGTAATTTTTGTTTATTGTGGAACAATACTAATAAATTTGTCTGATCCGTCTAATTTCATAAATTTTCTTCTCTTAAGGTAGAGACGACATCTTTTTATGTCGTGACTAACCTGGATTTGCTGAAGAATCACAAACTACAGGGTTTATCAAAAATAAAGTCGAGTAGGTGCTTTAAAATCTGAAAAAAGAACAAACAGCATCCCTACTGCTAATCTCCATTAGGAACACAGATTATAATCTTTTGCAGAGGAAGAAAACTATTTAGATGTTTATACTAGTCGGTGGGCATGACGGCCATGTTGCCGTTTTCCTTCAGTCTCCTCTTTAAATCTGTCTTTTTCTGGGTAGGAATATTGAATACATTTCTAAATACCAAATACAACCTCCAAGAGATTTTGATATTCTGCCAAAACCCTGAAGAAAATCTAAACTGTGAGCAGAGCAGCAAAGAGCCGCTTGCTGTTCGGCAGTTCAGGATTGAATGGACATCCCAACAGAGGGCAAAACCTGCTGGCAAACAATTATAGCATAGTTCTGTAGTTTTCTATACTGGAGATAGACCCTCTTCTGTCGATGCCCCCCATGGAGAAGGAGTTTCAAATCCGAGTGAAAATTGGCCACATTTATACAAGATGGAGCATTGAGGTAGCTGCTGCTCAGGTTTTATTTTCAGCAGCTGCAAAGCAACTTGGCAGGTTTTGAAGGCTGCACAATACTCCTTAATGGGCAACTATATAAAGAAAAGAGATTGTTCAGAGAAGCATTTGATGAAGGGATGCTAAAAGCATGTTTAGACGATAAAGGATCTATTCAACACCAATAACCCTGATGGGAGGGTAGCACTTAGAAAACCTGTTAAATGCTGTTCATATTTTCTTCAGGAGGCGTAAAGCCGCCTTGTTGGTAAACCTGCAGCTCCAGTTCATTTTCAAATGTAAAATTGTTAAATATTACAGGAAAAAATAGTTCGATGTTTGGTTTCTAATAAGAAACATAAAGCAGGCTAACCACAGGGAAATAATTTATTTTTAGATGCGTCACACTGTGGAGAGTTCTGAATATATTTGCAGTTGTTAAAAGTCAATTTTAATCATGTTAATGACTGACCTAATTTAGAGGGACAGTACAGCTCTCAGACAGTTTATGGCATGCATATTAGCAGAGATAAGATCAAATGGCCCTGTGACACATAGCCTGCACACACTGCATGACAAGCAGAAACGCTGCAGCTTCAATGGAGGCAAAGGGAAAATGTCCTACAAGAAACTGAGTTAAATGGTTCAGAAACAGGACAAACACAATTAAGACACTGCATATAAAAGATACAGTTAATCTCAATCACTGTTCACTTAAAAAGAAAAAAGAAAAAGGCTGTGTGTTTTTCAAAATAAGTAAAAAGTTAACCGAAAGGTGAATTTCAACTGTAATTTTTTTTTAACCCAGAATCTTTTTACGTTATCATTTGTCCTTTGCACACTAAATATAATTTTATTTTATTTTTTTTTTAAATAAAAACATTTATTTTAGGAAAATCCTTTATTCCTGTGCCCTTATTGGTCACCGTGTATACATTTGTCTTATTGAGAGCTGATCAGCTTACCGTTAACAAAATTGCTAGCAGTAAGTAATAACCGACATTTGTGCCATTTTCTCTCGTCATTTATCTAATCACCTGCAGCTTATGGGTCATTAAGATGCACCTCATTCACTAATGTCAATTTAGCAGTCCAACTTATTTTTTCATGCTGTGATAAACACTTGCAGTACGCTGACAACATGCTAACTAATGCTAAAACACCAAGATAAATGCAGGTAACCATGGTAAGCAGTTAAAGGATGGCCCGGCTCTTTAAGCAGTCGCTGTGTTTGTAAACAAGTAATCCCTCTGCAGAGCAGGATTTTATGGGACGAAAAGTAACACCGTTTTTCGTTTTTAAATTTTAATATAGAAAATCCACAAACGACTCAGATACTCACCACATTCAGAAGTGTCAGGTTGTCCCTCAGTGAGCCCAAAACTCCAATGAACGAAACGACGAACATCAAAATTCCCAACAGGATGAGGATGATAGACGGGGCCAAAAACAAAGCATTCAGGGTCTTAAAACGCAGCCGCTCCGCCTCTGCATAGATGCCAATGGCCAGGATAAATGTGCCGATTAACTGGAAACACAACAGATTATCAGTCAGGGTGGATTATTTTAATTTCTGAACAGATACAATTTTATTTGGACCATGGATTAAAGAAATAATACATTCATTCCACCATTTTTTATGATAAACTTTAAAACCAAACCTTGTGAAAAGCCACAGTTTTGACAGGTCACTTTTTAACTTTATACCTAAGGTATTATGTTTGTCTGGATTATAATGTGAATAGAATTGCACTGAATGTAACTGGATTTGCATGAGACTGTGCTGGGAGTGAATAAAAATGTAACTGCATTTAATTGGATCCCTTTGTGGAGCACGTTCAGATTACTTCTGTTGTAATGTGGCAAATAAAAAAACTGAGTTGTATCTTGTTCGCAAGCCAATTATTTCTATTATTCACACTAATGAGGAAATGTATCCATGTTCGTTAGATTTAAAAGGAAAAAGTTACAATTATTCCTTATAGACTTCAATAGCAAATGTTTGCAAACATTCAGATGAATATATAAACTTTTAACAAACTGTGAAAGACAATCCCTTCACTATATTAACATCCAGTTTTAAACAGTTGCTGCAACACCTCGTTAAAGCCAACTAAAGTTTGAAGGAAGGAAGGATTTATTTATATAGCGCTGTTCACACATAAACTAATCCAAAGTAATTTACAGGACATCAAAGGAAAAACAAAGACCCTTAAAAATGGGCTTAGAGAGCTTAAAGCATCACACAGTTAAAAGTATCACATAAAATAAATTTGTTAAACTATAGATATAAATATCAGTTAACATACATTTAAATCCACCTTTGGATTGAAGTATTGTTTTAAATTTATATCCTATCAAAGTGTAGTCTACAACCTACTGTTTCCAGCAGGCAAAACGTTTCCTAGTCTGATTCTTTGAAAACCTGCTGTAAAAAAAAAAAAAAGAAATGTTTTCCATTGTGATTTAAAGCAACATTTTCTGCACATCTCAGGTTTCAGAGAGCTTTCTCCACAGTTGAGGAGCATATTAACTAGGGCTGATCAATAACAATACATGTCGCGATAGACATGTGATCAATAATAGATAATACGTCTGAAAGTCAATTTCACTGGACTCTGATCCAGAACCGAACAGCATTCTGGGAGATGTAGGAAGACTCAACCTGTCACTGCCAGCTAAATAAGGTTGCCTCAACTCACTCACTCACTCTTTGGTTACCTAGCAACAGCCTGTTGAGTAACATGTGGTTACCTAGCAACAGTCTGTTGAGTAACTGGCGCAGCAGCAGTTTAAGTTTTCGCCACTGTGACTCATAACTGCTTAAAAATAAAGAATTGGATGAAACAAGATTGGTTACGTCTCCAGTTTGGAATCATTTCATCCATTTTAAAACAAAACAACTGATCAATAGTTACCAATAGACTGATATAAAACACTTATATTTATTAAAACAATCCGCTGCCTCAGCTTTTTAGAAAGGAGAATATGTTCAGACAATAGGATGGAAGCAAAGTCTATAAATGAAAATATTTTTCCTATTTTTTTATCACAACATAACAATTTTAAATTCCAAACAGTGGACCTAGAAACCCTGAGTAACAAATGAAGCAACACAGAATCAGATGCAGGCATTTGAACAATTTAAGTCGTTTCTCAGACAGCAAAACCATGAAGCAACACCAAAGAGAAAACAGTCCTCAGCTGTTGTGCGGGGCTGCAGGTTTTCACTGTGAGGTACATCCCTGACAGGTAATCAGTCAATCCCAGGACCAACACAGGAACATCCTGGACAAACGACCATGCAAACACTTCACCATTTTCAAGATCAATTTTAAAGCAAACCAGCATGTTTTCTGTTTCCATGAGCAAGAAAACCCACACAGGAAGAGTCCAGCAGAGACTACAGCCCTATTACCTCACACTGAGACAAAAGCCACACTGCAACATCCCACCTGTACTGACTTTTGCTTAAATTATATGTTTGTGTATCCAAAAAGTCAACCATATCTCCCTCAATCTGAACAAAAAGTGATTTTTATTTAAAAAGCTTTTATTTTTGATCCTCTGGGAGTCATTTCTGACAGCTATGAAAATTCTGTCCTCACAAAACTCCAACAATTACACCCCCACTGGGAACATTCACCCTCACAGCTGGTTTTTGCCCAGGTTACTTTAGAATAATTTGACTACTTACACTGCAAATATCTGACCTGATGTGCAAACTAAAAAAAGACCAAATCTTAGCAGCAGGGAACAACATGAGAAGCCATTTTGGAATGTTACACTCCAGCAGACTGGTTTAAATTTATGTTAAATAGGAAGGCCTCTTGTTGGTTTACAAATAAATCTAAAACTGTTTTAAAAAGCTCAAAATATCTGAAACTTACAAGGTTGATGTTTAAAGTAAGTAAATAAAGTGATTAATGTTTCAAATAACACAGCACAGACACTTAAAGGGGCAGTACGTGTTTTCCAGTCACTTTACAGCACAATAAAGTAACTATATTAACTTCAGTTGTTGTATAAATGCTATATATATTATATAAAGGAAAATTTGCTTCCTAATTTAACACCTTGAAATTGGGTCTCTGATCCTTTAAAAACTCCTGCTCATCCTGAAACTCCACCTTCAGGAAATCACAACATTGGTCCTCCTTTTCACAACGTTTTTACAGGCGTTTAGTGAGAAGTAACTGGTGTAATCAGCTCAACTGATTGTTTGCCAATTGCTGCTGGTTAGTCTGAAGGAGCTGAGTGTTGGTGCAGGAGAGGCTGATCTGTGAGGTGGAAGCTCAGAAACTGCAGCTTGGAGGGGGAGCTGTGTGTCGAAGGCGGAGCTAGATCCACCCAGGCGTTTTCCACAGCTGGACGGTTGCCATGGAGATCAAAGGATTTTCCCAAACATGCATGAAAGAATCAAGGCAACACCAGGTGTATGTTTTTGATGTGGGAAAAACATTATAACGTGATGTAAAGCTAAAATAAAGGTTGATTTTATACAACACACGTGCTGAAAACTGCAACGGATCGACTGCATGCGCTTCACCCGAGTACAGAGAGGAAATCATTTAAAGGTTTTGTTAAACGTTCTTCCACCAAAAACCAACATAGAAAAAAGTTGCAACTCTTTCATAACGACCACAGCACACACACAAACAGAGTAGAGCCAGAGGACTATTTATCTTTAAAAGCATTGGTTTCGTCAAATCACTCAGATCCTGAAGCTGCTTTGAACACAGTAAGTTTCTCTGTTGTGTGTTTTTTTCCCCCCTCGACTCTTTAAAAAGAAAAATCCAGTGGCAAATGGACTAACATCGTTTCTGCTTTGTGCGTTTCTCCATTTTGCTCAGTGAGTGACAGAAGAGCAGTAAATTCAGCTGACAAGAAGACAGCCGCTGACATGTGAATGAGTCCTTATCTCGTGGGTTACCCTACCCAGCTATTTAGTGTGGGGTGTGAGAGAAATGACATTCTCACTTCTGGTTCTCTTTCTGTATGCAAGTGAAATAACAGACCACCTGCTGTGTTTATGTGGTCATTTCAGCAGGCAGCACGATCCGTTATGAATTTAGAGAGCTGATATTAATGCAGAGAAACAACTCAAAATGGGTTTGAGAGTCATGGCAGGTGAAAATGTAGACCCCGAGGGCTGCTTTATAGTCACTGTGTTGCGTTTTTATCCCACTGCAAAAGCAGAAAAAAATATGGCAGAGAGCTTTGATGAGGACTCGGATGTATTAAAATGCAGAATGTCAGCGCTGGGAGCTGGAGGCCAGCAAAACATTTGTTCAGGGAGCAAAGCAGGTAACACTATGAGGAACCTTAATATAACGCAATCATGTCATGAATATGAGATTTCCTGGGTGGGATAAGTGTAAAAATACCATGTTTTACTGTGGCACTGAAGAATTTTGAATAAAAACGTGCGACATAAAACCAATTATTTTCTCACTGCAACAAAATCAACTGATTATTTTGATTTGACTTTTATTTTCTTGTACTGGTGGAACAAGAAAATGAAAGTTAAACCAAAATCACACAAATAAAGTTGTCTAGTTTTATTGTTTTTTGTAGGCAATGGATGTTACTCATAGTAGAGCCAAACACAAAAAGGATTCTGCTGCATTAAAAGAAAGAAAATTAGTTTTCAAATGATTTAGGGCTCAAATGAACAAATTTATCCTCAGGTTTTGGGTCACTCCTTTTCAAAACGCTTTAACGTTGCCACAATCTTTAGTACCCACACAGGCACACCCGCTAGAAGGAAACAAACACACCCAGTACAACACTTTCGTTCTATTGGCTGAGAGGTTGCCAGGTGACAGTGCCAAAAGACGTTTCCAAAAGCAAGCAGAAAGTCCGAGCAGAGACTAAGTGTGAGTGCAAGAAAAAGTTTTGAATACAAGCGTTACAAGTTTTGAGAAGACAGACATGATAAAATGCATTAAACGTTTTGAGAACAAAATACATGAAATCCTGCTTTCAGAGTGAAAATGTGCGCTCTTGAATAATGGCAGAAAAATTCCCCCACAGAAAGGTTTGAGAAAGCACAGAGAATATTTGAAAGAGAGCAGACATTTTGAGTAAAGCAGCATTACAAGTTTTGAGAACAAAATACATCAAAACCTGCTTTCAAATTGAAAATGTGTGATCTCGATTTATGACAGAAAATCTCCCCAATGCACCATCTGTGACCTTTATCGTGACTCCAAATACTTCTTGTTGTCCTTAAATCCATACATCTCATCTTAGGTCTTCCTCTTTGTCTTTTTCCTTGCATCTTTAACATCTTTCTACCACTTCACATGTCTAAACCATCTCTTAACTTTATCTCCCAGTCGGTGCTCTATCTCTGATGGCTTCATTCTGAATCCTGTCCAACCTCGTCACTGCCAGAGAGAACCTGAGCGTCTTTATCTCTGCTACTTTCTGTTCTGTCTCCTGTCTTTTTGTCTCCACATGCCAGAGGACCCATGTGCTTTATTCAGTTTCTTGAGCTCTTTTTGGTATTCGTAGAATCATTAA